ATAGTTAGGTAAATAGTTAGGTAGATAGTTAGGTAAATAGTTAGGTAGATAGTTAGATAGATAGGTAGTCAGGTAGACGGATAGTTCGATAAATAGATAGTTAGGTAGATAGATAGATACGTAAGCAGATAGATAGTTAGATAGACAGATAGATAGATAGGTAGGTAGGTAACCAGATAGACAGATAGATAGATAGGTAGGTAGGTAAGCAGATAGACAGATAGATAGATAGATAGATAGATAGATTGGTAGGTAGGTAAGTAGATAGATAGGTAGATGGATAGATAGATAGGTAGGTAGGTAGATAGATAGGTAGATGGATAGATAGATAGGTAGGTAGGTAGATAGATAGGTAGGTAGGTAGATAGATAGGTAGATGGATATATAGATAGTTAGGTATATGTCCTAGTGATAATATCACTGATGTACGTGTAATTAAACGTAAAAAGGTCAATACTTTTCCCACACACACGGCAAAACACGATCGTTTACGACCGCATACGGAAAAAATACGGTCGTTTACGACCGTATATGCTCCGTATACGACCTCCGTTTTTCTCCGTATTTTGCCGTAAACGGTCACGGAAATATACGATCGTAATACTGGGCCATGTAATACGGTGAAATACGGTCGTATACGGAGCGTATATGGTATGTATACGGTCGTATACGACGTCGTAAACGGCCGTAAACGGTCGTTTACGGAGTCCGTAACGCTCGACCTGGGTTGTTGTATTGATTCAACAAGTGGACGTTGTATGCAAACATTATCTCAACAATGTCTTGTATGAATAATATTTTCATTTAAAATTTCGCAAAAAGAAAATTTTATTTATATTTTTTAGTCACGATCAGGTTTAACATGGTATCGAACACCAGGTTAGATACTTTTTGTGTGTTAGATAATCTTCGTTTAATTTCTTTTGTTAATTTTCTACAGAAAACAAGTTTGATTACGGTTTTATATAGAGTTTGACAAGGAATTTTTCTTTAAAAATTTTGTTTTTCTATGACGAATTATAGATGAAAAATATATGCAAAATACCGAGAGTTCTATTTAATCTAGGACATCCATTAGTTACTATCTCGACGTATGCATCGAAAATTCGTATTTTTTGTTGTCCTCGAATAAAATCTCCAGGTCAAAATAATTCTCGTCGACGCCATTCATCATCTTATCTATCTAGGTCGTCGAAACTGAAGAAAAATATTCATCAAAATATAGAAGATAGAGAGAAAGTCTATTATTTTTTAAACTTTAATCTCTCTCCTATTCAGGCACACACATTCGTTCTCCTCTATCTTTCCTTTCCAGATGTACACATTCGTTGTCTTCACTCTCTCTTCTCTTCTCCTACATTTATATATATATATATATATTTTTTTTTTCTTTAACAGCCATTTAATACAAATGAACCGAGAAACGTTTATGATGGATTTAAGTCGTGGATTGTAGTGGCGGAGCCAGGATTTTGAGCTGGGAGGGGCTCAACCCCCTCTGAGGAACCTTTGAGCCCCGGTTAGCAAATAAAATACATGGTTTAAAAATTTTCCTGGGAGAGGCTGAGCCCCCCCCCCCCCCAGCCCCACCCTGGCTCCGCCACTAGTGGATTGGTAAATATAAAAGATATTTTCATAAAAATGATGTTAAATCATTTTGTATTTTAGCAATCCGACAATTTATACGTGGTCAAAGATATGTACAAAGTGGTTGCATCACAAGAAACCACATCGTATCCTGAAGATATGTCGAAAAATGGTAAGATGCGCGCAATGCAAAAATCGAGCACTATCTCAGTTTTTGGTTGAAAGCTACATATTCCAATACTCCTGATTACCTCAATCAGGAGTATTGGAATATGTAGCTTTCAACCAAAAACTAAGATAGTGCTCGATTTTTGCATTGCGCATACCTTACTCATATACATGTTGTAGAAATAAATGAAGAACAAAAAAATGCTTATGTACAAAGTCTCATTCTCAAATTAATATTGGATTATAATGGAGCTGGTGGTAATGTTGATCCAAGTAAATCAAATATTTTTTAATTTTTGATTTCTGATATTAACTTATAGTGAAAGCTGATGGTGATCGTATTGTCTATACTTATGAAGGTGATGATGACAAGAACGATGATGATAGCAAAGAAGATGATGATGATGATAATGTTCATCTTAATAATAGTAAGTTTTATTATTATTTCACTATTTTAATCTTTTTTATATGTTAATAAAAGTTCAACCAAATGATACAACACCATCAACAACTGCATTAAATATTAAATTTATATCAAAAATGTTTTATAATTTTGTTAATTATATAACATCATTTGGTCAAAATGTTCCAGGTACACCAGAACAATTTGTTCAAACATGGTTTAATTATTTTCATGAACGTATTAATGAAAATCCAAATTTTTGGAAAGAAGAAAAAATAATTCTCAACGATTAAATAGAACATTTTTTTTTCTTATTATTTTTAAAAGTTGATATCGTTTTCTTTTTTTTTATTTTATTATAAAGTATATCAGATAAGTCTCATTGATTAAAATGCAAAATAAAGACGGTATACCATCAACTGAACAAATTGAATTATATATTCCAAATGTGTGGCAAGTAATAAAATAATTGCAACTGGAGATCATGCACTTGTTCAATTGGATATTGCTGTAGTTGATGAACAAACAGGATGTATTACAGAAAAATATCGTACATATGCTTTATGTGGATCAATTCGTATGATGGATGAAGTTGATGATTCAATTGTACGATTAGCAATTAAAGATAATTTTATTGGAAAAGATTATTTCACCAAAGAAACAAGAAAAATCATCAATTATATTCTCTCATCATTACTTGTTTTTTTTTTCTCGACTTTTATTTATTTTTATAAAAAAGAGCATTTATTATGAGAGAAAAATAAAATAAAATAAAAAGAATATGTTCAGCAACAAAATTTTTTTTCTTTTAACCATTATCAACAGAGATTATATTTGTCATTTATTATCAATGCATTCATTATTCATATCAGATTTCGTATTAAAATAGAAACTCTACTGAATAACATCAATGATTAAGTTACACTGTAACAATAACAAATCAGATTTGTGTTTTATGTTTAACATTCGTACTATCAAGATTATTTTAGACAAAACAACTTGTATGAATTATCGATAGAGCAATGTCTTTTCATTTTCTAATAAAGATGCTAGATGAAACAATATTATTCATGTATCTAGATCGATGCAAAAGATAATATTGATATCATTTGTTAAAGATGATATTCAATATTCTAATCTGAGAAGTAAAAAAAATCTTTTCACTTTATTTCCTTTAGTTTCTAAGAATGGAGTCTAAAATGATCTTGGTTGGTAGTATAAGTATTAAATAAAACTATGTTATTCTCTCACTACAATTAATAAGTTAGAGACTACCCAGAAAAGATTATCTGAGAAAGTTGCCTTCGTATGACTCTTCCTTCTTCGTATTCACAAAATTTTGGCTTTAGCTGACTTTATTCTTCCTCTAGATGTTTAGTGTTCTAAAGTGTTATTGATAAAGTCTGTTTATTGTAATTTAAATTACTATTTTATCGGTATAAATCATATTTTATTAATTGAATTCATCTAAAGAACAACTGAAAACGCACCATAACCAAACTTATTCACAATATATGTTATATCACGTAAGCGATTGTGCACATTATCACGTCCTTTATTTGAATAAAAGCCAGTCTATTTATAGGTCGGAGCAACGAAAGAATACATAAACATAAAAGATAGTTGACTGAAAACTTTATTAGATTTATTCTGGACGTCGTGAATTTGTTTTATTAGATACTACCGTTAGTATCTGGCGTTAACTGGGAAACTTCCATATTGAAAACTTGATATGTTAGGCAACGATAGGAGATGTAGAGAGGAGTGTGCTCCAAAATTCTGCATCTATCACCACAACATGTCCCGTCGTGCATACACTCACGCCCATACTAAAGTGCGGTAGTTCAGCGAATAGTGTATGTAAGTGTCTTTCCTTTTACTCACGCCTACTTCCGTGCACTACACTTACACCTAGCGTCAAAAGGTAGTACTAGGTAGACACTCTAAAAATCGTAGAGAATTCTCCGAAGTTTCTGAAAAATTAGTGAAAGTTGAGGTTTATCAAGAACTGGGTGGAACTTCACCAAACCCCCTCCTTATCCCTCGGATGCGCCAACCCCATCTCGACCTTCCTCTGGACCTGGATGAATGCCATGGAAAGTTTGGTGATGCTAGCCCTTACAAGGATCGAATGCATGAGGAACAGACAAACAAACAAACTTTCTTCTATATGTATATAGATATACGTTCGGTTATTTCCTTTTTTTCACTATGCGTCCTCTGCTCCAATCCATCATGAGTTATGAGTAATGAAATTCCATTTCACTTGTTGCTTTCTTCATTCGATGGATATTTCCATTCATATGATTGCTCTGCATCTTATACATTCTATTCGTTTTTTTTTCGAGTATTCTAAAATGTCTTGTGCTCAATGACAAAAAGTGCAGGTATTATATACTTTCATTCTCGAATTATTGAGGAAACAATCACACGCACAGACTCTCTGAAAAAGGCACTTACTGCAGTAATCCAACAATAGGAGGGGCAAACATTCCCCTTAGGTGAAAATTATAGATCAAAAACTATCCTACGACCTTCCCCTGGTTGAGAGGATGATTCCTGGAAATTTTGGTTGCGTTGGCCTGTATGGTGTGGAAATGCATAAAGAACAAACAGACAAACATTCTTCTTTATGTATATATAGATTTTCACCTCCCTACTCAACTCTCCCCATAACAAATTCCCAGGGAGTTAAAAGAACATTTATGAACTTCCGGGAAGCCCTGGAGAGTTGATAAGCATTACCAGGGACCCTTCAAGGAGTTATCAGTGAGTTTCCTGGAAAATTCAAGTCCATAGAGATTTGAGAAAGATTCCCCAGAGAGTTCACTGAAACATGCAACTCCTTGGGGATTTCCGACAGGAAGTTCCTAGGAAGTATTAGGGATTGAGCAAGGAAGAGTTGATTGGGGCTATTAAAGGTTTTTATTAGGAGAAAATATGTTTAATGAATCATCTGCTTGCAGAACACATCTTTGAGACAAAGTCTTTCATGTTCCGAAGAGTGAAGTTTAAATAAATCCTTATAGGCTAACTTAGCACGAACAGCTATGCGAATTGAATTATAGCAGTGTCAGTCACAAATATATCAATAAAGTGTCTTTGTTTCTGATTCTAACAATACTATTATCGATTGATGAACATGTTGGGATACAGATAAAATCAAGATTTCAATTCATTTAACATCATTAATTAAACAAGTCAAATTGACGATGGTTTAAAACAAATTTCTTAATATTTCTTTTTCGAGACATTGATTTTTTCCAGTAATTCCAAATCCCGATTGTCTCGCAGAACCTTATTTAGAATCTCAAATACATATTAATGTATTAAGTTTCATATAGTATTTATTTGTAATAATATTCAAAACCATATTCAAAGTACATATGACAGATAATGTATAATTTTTAAAATCGAAAACAATTGTAGTACGTAAATACTCCAGTAAATGATCAATTGTTGAGTAATCTCGAAATTTCTTTCTTAATTATTGATGAGTCATTTTCGTTCTCTTTAGTCTATTATTGAAATAAGATAATAAATAAATGAATATGAACGAATTATCAATAATTCTAAAGAATATAAATGTTTGATATTCTGAATCATCGAAATACATTTAAAGTTTTATTGTATACAAATTAAAGCAATGATCTCGAATAAATATGTTCAATACTGATGATGACAAAGAAAAAAAAACGAGAATACTACAGACAAAGAACAACCAAAAAGATATGTAATTATTTTCAATGTATATATACAAAAGACGAAAAATACTTTCGACATTGTTTTGCTTAAATTGTCATCGAAAAAAAAAGAAGAAGAAGCGTTTTTATATACATTTTTAAATAATGAACAATGTTTGATTTAACCATAGACCGATTCATCGTTATAAGCCACATATAGAAATTTATCTTCATCTGCCTAACATACAAACACATATGTATTATTAAAATAGATTCAATTAAAATACAAACATGTTCTTGATAAAGAGCTCCCATAGTCATTGATGTATTTGAAATTACCTTTAAAAAATAATTTGAAATATATCAAATTGAAAAAATAATTATAAATTTTACATTATTAACAAAGAAAAAAAGTGCATCTTCAGGTTGAAGTTGTATTCGTTTACAAATTAAAAAATAAAATTGACCGACCTTTACAAAACAAAAAAAAAATAATTAAAATTCATAAAATCAAATCAAATGAAAATTTACGATAAGATCATTCGGTATTCAATATTTTTTTGATAAAAGATCTGCAATACGTGAATTCGGTGCTCGTTCAACAATGACTGGACATCGATCCGGATATTCACGATGAATACGTTCATCTAAATTTCAATCAAAATATAATTAAATAAATTATATTCTATACCTTCTGCTCGTCAACTTTCATATAACGATTATTTACTTTAAATTCCCAACGCATTTTTAATCAAATCTATAAATGATTTGGATTTTATTTGAAGAATATCCAAAGAGTTCCAAATGGCAAACTCACATGATGATGATGATGATGATGTTATATTTATTAATCTTTCATGGAGAGAATAATCAATATATTCTAATGATTGTTCATCTTCAGACAGTCTTCTTCTATCATTGTTAGAAATTGAGATGAAATCTTTGAAAAATATTTCGGAATAACAATCGATCAAATAATACATGATCAAATGCAAATATAAGAATATCAGATTCTCGTATTAATTCATTATCATTATTTTCTCTTTTTGAACTATTTCACAATGAATAACATCACCAATTGATAAATAAAATAAATAATGATTAATTGTTCATTGATTGATTATATGAAAAAGTTCAATAGCATTTTCAAAGACGTCGAAGTCAACCAGTGAAGATGATTGATGATCATTAATGATGTTTTGTTTTACAGTAGGCTATTTCCATGGTACTTGTGACACGAAATACACAACATTCACC